TCCTTCATGAATATGTGTACTTTTCACTATCATTAGCCTGCATTAAATTTGTTCCACTTCTCCTAGATATTTTTGTTCCCTACCCTTTACCATCCATGATGGCACATTCCGTCCCTACCAATCCTTCCATTTGATGAGGCTGGTGCTGTAGACAACCTCCTACTTCCATTCCCCCTTACTTTGGGAGCTTAATTTCTAGCAAAGCTGATAAGCTATCGTTTGCCCCTAACTGTCGCCTGAACTTATCTATTGAACCTAGCTTTCTTAACAGTTATTATTCTCCCATCCAACCTTCTATTATTATCCCATCTTATAGCCTTTATACAATCCTCTTCCTCCCTATATCTCACTATATAAAAGCTTGCATTAATACTTTAAAATTATTTATCTATTCATTGAATTATTAATTTTAACTAATATAAAAACATTTAACAATAAAATTACACTTGCCATATATTCTCAAACCAAATTTAAAGTTACATATATAATATTTGTTTGACAATGATAATATATATATATAGTAGCATAAATGAGAAATTATTTATTTAATAATGAGAAAAAAAATCATATATATATATATATATAATGTAACATATTCAGGTTTATGGTTTTTGGAAATTGGCTTTGGCTTTTATGTAATCTCGTTCAACTACAAGATTACGGACCATAAAATGTATTTAGTAAGGGCCTTAAGAAAATAAAATTTACATTCTCTTTGGAAAAGAAGATAACTTAAAAGAGGAGGACAAGGATTGAATTTCCCCCTAAATGATCAAATTTTTGACAACTTGAAAATCTAACAATTTCAACTGAAATGCTATCTTAGATGAATCAAACATCGACAGGCTCGAGAGAATACAGTGAATATTTCAAACAAAAATTCAAGATTTCATGAACCAAACGACCCCTTAATTCTTGAATTTATAAAACTCCAAGAAGTCAAATGATATACTGACAGAGGTAATTGACATCCTAATTAGCAACATTTGTTTGTGGTTAGTTATCACTAAACATTATAATTCAGCTTTGTATTTGTTTCGTACAGATAATATGCCCTGGTAGGCGGTGGCCATCAAGTCCTCTACTTATATTTGACCATAGACTAGAGCAACAGTTGATATAGACGGAGTACTGTGGTTGAATTAGTGGATGGAATGACCAACCACTTGGCAGACCCAAAATAATAGCAAAAAGGGTGCCAATGAAAGTGGCCTCAGTCTGCAGATGCATTGCCATTAGTGTATGTGTAATAATAACACAAAGGGATCCAATCAAAGTGGTTGGCCCAAGCATGTGCTCATCATTCCACATTGTATGGCACTACATTTTAGATCCCTCCCTACTCTATTACTCAGTAGACTCTTTTTATTTATTAGTAAGCTTTTTAGCTTATAAGTTGTAAGTTTTTAATGATGACTTATCCTCTTAATTACCTAATCATCACTCCAACCCCAACCTTTTTTTCTCCCTCTAACCAATCGGTAACCCTTTCAAATGTGTCCTTCTCCATCCTATGTCATACTAAGAGACTCAAAAGGCCCAGCGTTGCCTAACAAGTTGGTCTGCTATAGGATTTGACTTTCATTTCATTGGTGCTGCTTATTGTTTCCATCCCCAACTAAATTTGTTCGAGGAAAATAGAGGGGCGGCAGAGAGGGATAGTGTTTCCTTTTAACTTCAAAAACTATGAATATATATACGGGTGTCGGCCAATCTCATTACTCACAGAAAACTATAAATGTCTTTAATGCTATTTATTTGTAATTAGATATTTTAAGTATCAAATAAAATAGCATTATTCAATTTAAAAACCTGAAAAATAAAAATACTTAAAACAGGAAGTAGGCTGAAAACTTGTCAAATATTTGTGAATGCAAGATTGGATGTTTTTAATACATTGACATTGACATTGAATAGTCAACAAACCACCTAAAGGCACCGCATTCTAGTTAAAAATAATGTTTTGAGAGGTTGAGTGAGGTTATCTATAATTATGATCAACCCAACCCATATGGATTAATCAATTAATAAGAAGAGGAGTCTCTTTCCTTGTCAATCAAGATTAAATTTTTATGAAAAATATCATTCAAAAATAAAATCTTGACTACATGCACATTTAGCAAGGTGGTATGGACTGTTTTCAAATAACTAAAGTTTAAAACTGTTAGCCATGCCAATAAAGGCAAAAATCAATTGAGAGAGAGGGTCTACCACATGGGGTCAAATCATGTGGCGGTTACCTGGCCACTTTCCGTGAAGTATGAACCCAAACCCAACTAATTATGGCTAGGTTACCATAGCTAAACTCCAAGCGCAGAAATCATGAGCTTCACTCGAAAATAACAAAGAGATAATTCAACTGTCACAAAAATCCTCCAATTTTTGCTTTATAAGCTAGTTCCATGTACTTTGTTAACGTCTTCACGAGCAACTTGTTGGTGCTATTTCAAGTATAGATGACAGATGCTATAAAACAAGGCAACCTGCCACATGCTTCAGTCTAAGTAATTTGTACTGGCATATTTCAGGTTGTTCTTGTCTTAATAATTTCCTTTCCATCGAATGAGTGGATCCAGGTAAGAGTAATTAAAAGGACTGTTGATAGCTGGCAAACATCATGGAAAAATTATGAAGGTGAATTCTGATCAGAACCTTGAATTAAAACAGCTAGCCTAGCTAGATACATGAAGCTGTCCCAACTAATTCTGAGTCCATGATTGAGTTATTTAGTACAAACTAGCAGCAAACTTGAATACCATAAAAGCTGGACATAACTCATACTAGCAAAAAGTTTGGAATACGGTATAAAGTTGAGCTGCAACTCAGTTGTTTTAATTATTGCACCAATGGCTTCTTAGCATGGTCCTTTGGGATTCCAAAAATAAAACCACAGACTGATCCCCATGCCATGGTTGATCAATCACATCTAAGTTTCCTCAAGATTATTTCTCAAATTCAATGGATTGCAAATGGATAACCATTGACAAATAATTAAAATCACTTGGTACTGATAGAAGAACTAATTAACTGTGTACGTCAATGCGATTAAGTTATCATTAAATTAATGGCCATCACGCACCAAAACTTACAAATCGTTCAATGTGAAGATGAAAGTAGCCCATGCCCCATAGCAACAACAACCATTTCCCCACCAGTCGTTCAGTCTGAAATCCAAATCAATCAAGTCAAAAGAAACCCAACTCCAGGATGTCAAGTCAGAGCATTGTCCATATGTATAATGAAGCTCGCTCGCCGATATTCTTCTTGTCATCTTTTGCTCCTACTTTCCCATTTCAGGGTGCATCCTCACTTCACCCCTTCGTTCCATACTCGTATTATGCTATGATATCTCGAGGCATAATTAAACAGTAAATAATTATAAAAAGAAAAAAAAAAAGCCCTACGTAGCCAGTGTTACAAAGCTCTCGCTCTCGCACGATCGAATTATTAAGTGTGGGATCAAAACATGGATGTGATTGTCATATACAACAGCCAAACTCTTGGTCCCATATGTCTGGACCGCTTCTCAATCCTGAAATAGTACGGGGTGCCGTGCTCTCTTAACAGCTGATACCCTTGAATGGTTCTCAGATATCTCTTTATTCTAGACAGGATACGAAATTTCTTCTATATCTATTTTATTTTAAAGATAAAGCAATCACAGTTCACAAGCATTTATTAGAAATGAGTACCTTAATTTGTTCAAGGTTATGACAAAAATAATCTACAATTTTGATCAAACAATAGTGTAAATTCAGAGATGGGTAGTAGAAATCTTAAGTTTGAGGAAATAGGGGCAGTGAACAGTTGGAGTACCATATTAAAATTACCAATAATTTCAGTAGGATATTTGGGATCGATGAAGACTATTAACAAACAAGCTTTATATATCCCCCATGTTCATTCTTCACTCAGTTTGTAATCTGAAGAGCACTTAAATATTTATTCTCACCAAACCTTCGATTGAAGTATTACATGATTGATGCTGCACCACTTGATTTGCTAGATTAATGTGTGAGCATAGATAAATAGATTGTTCATAGCAGGTTCACGTAATGGGAAACTGAAACAAGTGGGGCGACACTTTGTTTAAATAATTGAGCATATCAACATCAGAAAATGGGAAGTGATGATGTCATTTATGAATTTTTTTTTCTTAAAAAAAGAAAGAACAAATTGTCTAGATAATGCTGTTGACACAACCTTCTTAGAACGTGGGAAGAAAATGCGAGTGATGTGTCAACACAAATGTGCAGCATATTTTAGGGAGTGAAGAAACTACGAGGCAATTAAAAAGTGTTGGAAGAATGAAAGGAGGCAGACAATGAAGAAAACTAGCATCAGGAAACCGAGAGTGAATCTCTATCTTCCTCCAAGCTATCATTAAAAGAACCTCAACTCTTTTGCACCAATAATGATGATGGATTGAGGAATGCCAACAAAGGAGAAGGCAATAACCAAAAGGCTTGGTGGCATCCCCACTCAAACCAAGGGGTACAAAAAGAATATGAAAGCAAAAAGGACGGTAACGATAGGAGTGGGAGACAATAAACTCCGTCTATTCTGTAGAACTTGAGTAATGGATCCCTTGGAGTCTGTTGGATGGTGCTCTCATTGTTGCAGCTAAAATTTGTAGTTAATATGAGGAGGCGACTGCTCCTGCTTTTCCATATAGCAGCAAGACCCCCGTCAAATCATTTAGTCCTTTTCAAGTTCAAATGACCTCAGCAGCACTGCATCATAGATATCTATCTATCCACATATGAATTCACACTTACTAAGTCCCACTGAGGAAACCTGCACGGTGATGACAAGGAAACCGCTGTAAAGCCCTGAATGAAGTCCACTAAATCGGCTCCTTTAGGACAATAAGAATTGAAAAGAAACATTGTTTTGGGGAGGAAATAATTGATCCCACGAATCCCTGCAAAATTATTTGTAAAAATTTACATCATTTGATCGACGTGTAAACAACAATCCACTCAAAATAGTCCTAATTGATTACTTTTTTTCCCCCTATGTGAGGACAGAAACCCTGACACAAGACTGATATAATACATTCAGGTTTGACACCAACAAAGCATTGTATTAAGCAGATGCTGAGATAAGCTTCTACAAAAAAAGAAACACCCACATTTGTAAAAGGGGCAGTTCCTTGAAAGTTGAACAGACTTGTCAACTTGTGCTTTTCGACCTCATAAAAGGTTGAGGGTATACAAATCTAAGAAACTACTTTTGGCTGTTCCACACCATGACCAAGTTTGAGACAGAACAACATTGCCGCTTCATTCACTTAGTTTCACACACAGTTTGAAATTATGGACTCAAGTTTAACCAAAAGGTCCAGAAAAAGATTTGAGTTGAATCCCAATAAAGAACATTGGACCGCTAGCTTGCAGTAGACTCAAGTCATTCTTTTTATATTACAGTTTCAAATTTCCATTTCTCCGCCGGAGATTAATGAAATAATTGCAGACAGAAAGTCAAGGCTCCTTTGATTTCACCCGTTTGCAAAAATTCAACTCCCGTGTGTGTTCTCCACCGGTAACTAGACTGGCGATCAGATAGAAAATTGACCTCACCATACTTATAAAAAAAACGCAGATATATCCCCCATCTACCTAAAAAGACTATGGGAGTCATTCCAACAAGAAAATGAAACTAGTACAACACCTCCAATAGGCTCATGGTCATTTCATTCCATTGCAAATCAACAATAATCCCGCCTGATAAGGAATGTTCATGAACCGTTCATACATAGCGAAACATCTACTAAAATGTTTTGTCAGAATGGGCCGTCTTTAACACAAACTCTAAAAGTGACATTTGAAGCATTCCATAGCTAACTGCTGGAAGTCCTTTAGAAGTAGCTGTAGCTGCAGTGATTAAGCCAGCCCTTGCATCTTGCAGGCATTCAGACTTTCAAGCTCCAATAGAGGCATACCAAGAAAGAAGAGAAAACTATGCTGGTATGCAAATACTTTTGAGTAGTATCACTTGCATAGAGTTTTAGCCATATCCATTTTGCTTACAAATGAAACGAGGAGAGGAGCAATAAGGGTTCAGATCCACCCATTTCCAAACGCATCAATTAATCATTTACGGTGCCATCCAAATAGCATAAAAAATTGTGTGCATGAACATTATGAGACTATCACCTAAAGATAAATGGTCAGTTAAACACATCTGATATTTCTAACCCACGCATGCATATGAAGCTAACTATCCAGCTTCTACTTGTAATTAGGTCAGAAACTCTTAAAATTACATTGTGATCAGCATCTTGCATTTTCAAAAGCCCCTTAAAGAAAAAGATAAAGGATCTTTGCAAAGCATTAAATTGGCAATAACAATTAAAAGCATAGCATTTCACCATTATCAAACACCACTTAAGTATATGTAAAGATAATAAAGCACAATAGGAAAAGGCATAATTGTTCAACATAAAATCCATTGGATCAATACAATGGTAAGGAAACAAATTAAGGGGCTCCAAAGGGAGAAAACAGAGGTTACCAGGATGGAAAACAACATTTACTGTTTATTATAAATCAAAAGCCAGGAGAGGCATGCAGCAGTTAAACTTTGATAAACAATGGGTCAGGCGCCACCAAAGTGATATCTAACATTGTCATACACTTTTATGGGGTGATAAACATTATAATTAAGCAGATTGTGGATTAACATTCACATCTCAGATTACATTCCAATATCTATATATTTTCCTTCGAGATCAGACACCTTAAATATTTTCCATATTTGCAGCACAATGTAGCACAGAAAAGAGATTTAAAAAAACAAAAAAAAAGCCTTTTTTAAGTGCTAAAAGCCTAAAACAACAGCTACCTGTGAAACTCTGGGAATGTCCTTCTTACTCAATTATATTATATTGCAGATGTTAAAATCACAAAAAAGACTCAAATTATTAAGTTCAGACAATCTGTAGACTATTATAGTCACACTTTAGCATTCTAGTAATCTAGTTACTTACCTTCATCAAAATATGCTCCCAAACAGTAAAAGAAAGGGGAAAGTGGCAGACCACGCTTACTCCCACACACGCATACATGTAGACACAAAATTTTTATCCATAATTCTAAAACAAAAATAGGATTTCTCAGGTTCTTATCAGTTTAAATTTAGTAAAGTAAATATGATATTGTTGCTCACTTTACTCTTTGATATATAGCTCATGACTACATAGCTAGCGTTAAATCAAGTATCATACCTAACCTTTGCAGTAATTCATACCTAACCTTTGCAGTAATTGATGGTAAGAAATGTTGACCTTTAAGTTCTAAAGAAGTGCCCGTGTCACAATTTTTCCTTGTCACTGAATTATAACAGTCAGCAATGTAAAATCGCTCATAATACCTCAACTAAGAAATGGGGCAACATGTGCATGATACTTTCAGCTGAATTATATGCCTAAATAAAGGAGCATGTTACTATTTATATACATAATACATGCCCCAAAAATTATAGACAGGGAGGCTGTCGATATAGCTCTCACTTATACCAGAATCCAAGTACTACGATTAATGTATTATGAATTTTAACTTAGACCCAAAAACAACGTTACTTAACAGTAGCAAGAGCAACCACCCACTTCACATAATGTTAAGATTTAATAATTCAAGGGGCTAGTGACAAGAAATGCTAGCTTCAAGCCTATAAAGTATGAACTAGTTAATCTTATCTCATTGACAAAGCCAGCAAAGAAACAGGAAGAAAAAACACGTCAGAGATTCCAAAAGGTTACATACATGCCTGCCACACTTTTTTCCTGCACAAAAGGGGAGTGAAAAAAAAAAAAAGGGTTACCTACATTTATTGGAAAAGTTTTCAAGAAGAAACATCTCCTCCTCTTAATTGCTGTATTGCAGTGTACAATTTCCTTCGATGCCCAACAGCAAATACACCCATCTCCTTGAGATCATCTAGAGTAAGCAGAGGCAGAGTTTCCTCATCGACCTCATGCATTTCAAACATGCCAGCATACCTGCCAAATCCCAGGTCTTCCAACCATCTTCCAACACTAGTTACGTCATTACAGGTGTATCTCATTTGGTCCCATCCATCACCAGATCTAAAAAGCACATTATTTCTCTCATAACAAGCATCCTTCCAGTAATCATCACCATTTCCCTGTTGCCAACTATCATAACCGGGTTCATCCACATCATATTCACAAGCATCTTTGCTGGTAGCCGGTGTTTCATGATCTGATATGTCCTGAAAACCATTAACAGGGCAATAATCTTCACAAGCATTTGATCTCATTCCCATAAACTCTTTCTCACCATGCTCTTTTCTATCTTCACCACTAAATTCCGGACTAAGTTTAGTACTCCAGGTCCAAGCACTGCCAAACACACAATTATTGCCTTCCCTGATCCTCCCTCGCCGCTTCATGACCCTACTCTTCCTGGTTATGGTACCAAAATTTAAACTAGACTTCATCATATCAATTTCATCAGCATTCACCACATCAAAACCTGATTTCGAAGAATTCGGGTTCTTATTCTCTCTGTTCTGTTGCAAATCAGCTGACATCCTCGGGGAGACACCACTGCCAGAAATCAAGAAATCTGGAGACTCTTCTTTAGAAAACCCAACAACAGTAGTAAGTTCATTTCCTTGAGGGTTGAGAAAATCAGGATTCCATCTTTTATGTCCTAAACTTTCCTTGGTCTTCTGAGAAAACCTACATGCAAAAGCAGCAGATACGTCTCCTATTTCCCCTAACCTAACATTTGGCCGCCTTTGCCTTTTTGAATTCATGCTTAAAACCAACATTTTACACCAAACCCCACTTTTATCAAACCCTAACAACACCAGAAAAAGAAAAAACAACCCACAAAATTAAACCTCAGAAACAGCCCAAACAAATTTTAAAAACCCAAAATTTGCAACAAACAGAAAAGCACCCCCAAACAACCTTTAATCTGCTTAAAATAACGCAAAAATCATAACAACAACTATAATTTACATCAATATTCAACAAATAAAATTACTGGAAATACTAATTCAAGGGCGAAACAGAGAAAGGAAAAGTGAAGAAGTGAACCTGTTAAGAAAGTAACAGTGGCAGAAGAGTTTGAATTTGTGCATGTTTCTAAAATTGGAGTATTTGCTGAGTTGCTGCAGTGGGCAGCTTAAAACAACAAATACATATATATATATATATATATATATATGTATATATATTAAAAAAGGAAAGTGACTGAGTTAGTTTTGGTTTCTTTTATTGGGCTAGGAAACCAAAGAGCAAACCCTTTGAGAAAAAGGAAATGAAAATCTAGTGGCGAATTTTGTTAGATTTGTCTGCGTTGCAACATAGATTTAGATTTTAGATTAGATTTTCAGACATGGATAGGGACATGTAACGAGAGGAAGTCAAATTGAGAATTATCCTTCTCAAACAAGGATGAGGGAATAGAGGATATGATTGAATGTTTCCATGAGTTTTGTAATAATTTTGGTACTGCTTGTCTTTTTCCTTGACACGTGGAGTTGTACCCAACATGTCATGATATATGCGGAAGAAAAGCAAGGAGAGACTCTGGATTTCGAAACCTTAAAAATGAGCTTCTTTTTTTTATTTTCTTGGACACATGCAGTGGGCTGAAGAATCAAGTAAAAATTGGGGATTCAAGTTGGGAGTCAGAAAATAATAATAATAATCTTTAAAGCAGAGGAAGATTCTTGAAACAACTTGGTTTTAGGGACAGCAAGGGTCCAACCATGTTGATCACAGACATTGGCATTTAGCCAACAGGGAACCTGCCTGCTTAACTATGTTGTGGGCTTTTAACCAAACCAGCAAACGAGGTGACTCATCAACACTACTCTGTAGATTATACTTTCTACCTTCACCTCCTCGTCCACATCTGTTTACTTCCTCATCGACTTTCCCTTGCCCTTCCCCATCCCTTCCTCTTCACCAAGGGCGGAGGGCGGAACCGTGGTTCTCAGAAAGTTTAAAAATTTTTATATATTATATATATTTTTCAATAAATTCTCAAATTAATTTTTTATTAAATTATTGATACAATATGCTATATATATTTTTAATGGGTTTTTTAAATTTTTTTTATTAAATAATAAATAATAAATAATTTTATAAATCTATTTAACTTTATCTTAATTTTAAATTTTTCTCATTTAAGTTTCTTCACACCTCTTTCTATCTTTTTTTCTCTTTCTCTTCTCTTTTATTCTTCATGAAATTACAAAAAGATAAAGTTTTTTATCCTTTTTATTTATATTATTATTATTTGTTTATTCTTTTTAATTTTATTCTATTTGATCATATGTTTTAAATTTTTATATATTTTCTTCTTTAAATTTTTACTAATCATCTACTATATTCTTTTTTTTTATTATGTAATTCTATCTTCTACTTATCATATTTTTTTTCTGTGTTTGCAATGATTTAATTTTTAAAAATTAAAAAATTATTATATAATTTTCAAATATGTATTATAACATCGTAGTATTGATTGTTACTTAAAATTAACATCACATTATTAATTGTTGTTTAAAATTTCACTAATATAAATCTTGATTATATAAGATTTTTTTTTATATTTATGTTTTATATTCAATTGAAAAGAAATTATATTTGAGTATTTAGCCTTTAAATAATATTGATTATAGAAGAGAAAATTATTAATTTTGTATATTATATTTAATTATTTATATTTTATGTATTATTCTTTTTCATCTTTAGATCTTCAATAAAAGTTTGTTAACTCCATCCCTACTCTTCACCCCGTTCATCAAGTCCCCTCCATAGCTCTCTGTTCATTAGAATAAATGTTCAAACACATATCTTTGAAAAAATAAATATGTTTATTTATCATTAAATCAAATATTTTAATAAAAAATAAAAAAATTAAATTTAAAAATTACTTCCATCTTTATCTAAATTTACAAATCTAATTTTTCAAATTTTATTGCATGTAGTCCATAAGTATATAAACTCTCGTTAATAGCAATTCTAGTGATTTACACAAAAAATGAATAAAATAACACTAACCATGTTGATAATTATTCATGTATTCATTATGTAATGATATGATTTATGATGCAAATTTGATTTTTAAACGTATTCATATCAACATAACCTTTTTAAGCTCTCATTTATATGATGTGTTTTAATCACACTTTTTACTTTAATTAAAGTTTTGTATCAATTTCTATAATATTTAATAAAATAACTAGATTTGATTGAGAAAAAAAATGTTATACTTATTTCTTTGTTTGACACGGCAAGTAATTCAATCATTCGTTTTTTTTTTTTTTTTTGTTCCTTTTGTTGTCTGTAGCCCCGATCCTACTAACGCTCTTCCAGCTATTAAAACGCAACGAGAAGCGAATGGTAATCTTACCGAGACAAATCTGGGGGGCGGGGGGGGGGGGGCGGGTCGGGGTGTGCGGGTGGGTGGTGACGGTTTGTGTGGGTGGGGGTGTGGGGGTTGTGGGGGGGGGGGGGGGGGGGGGGCGGGCCGCGGGGGGGCGGTGGGGGGCGGGGGGTGGGGCGGCGGGGGGCGCGGGGGGTGGGGGGGGGGGGGGGGCGGGGATGGGGGCGGGGGGAGGTGGGCGGGGGGTGTTGGTGGTGGTGGGGGGGCGGGGGGGCGGGCGTGGGGGGGTGCGCGGGGGGGGGGGCCGCGGGTCGCGGGGGGGTGGGGGCAGGTGTCACGGGGCGATTCTTAAGACCACTCTCCGTGCGGCCTTGGGCTCAACCCTTATCTTGGTACTAGAACCCAAGTCAGCCTCAGTGCTTCAGCACTTACTCAGCAAGCACCCAACTCCCACCCATGGCTTTAAGCCTGCAAGCAAGCTTGCATAAAAGAGAAAGGAAGACAAGAGAAATACTAGCAAAGAGAAGCTAAGCTTGTATTGAATGAATTGAATTACAATGTATTCAATGGGATGATTTACACAAGGAGCATGGGGTTATTTATAGCCAAGGTTCCACAACATTTCCCTCCAAAGTTTTCAATCCAAAGTATTCCCCCCCAAAAGATTTCCCTCCAAAACATTTGGGAGGTTCTAGAAGTTCGGTTGGGAGGGAAAATTTGAATTTTCCAGCAGCCCCCCTTACATGGGTCTAGTGGGCTGGCACCTTCTTGGGCCTCCTGGTGGGTCTGGACTGTGGCCCGTGACACCCTCCCCCACCTAAGCTGGCAGCGTCCTCTGCTGCCGTGTGGAAGGCGTTAATCCAATCTTTGAACTGCCACAAATCTTCTGCAGACTCCCAACTAACTTCACTCTCGGGCAATCCCTTCCATTTCACCAGGTACTGATGTTGAGGCATGTGATGCTTCCGTCGAAGTACTCTATCGGCCAGCACTTCTTCTACCTCTTTGTCGTACGCTGCTCGAATGCCTACTGGTGCCCTGTTGCTCACCCTTCGGCTAGGGTCCTCTTTATCTGCATGGTAAGGCTTCAGCATGCTGACATGAAATACCGGATGCACCTTTGGCTTGAGCGGCAAGTCCAACTTGTATGCCACCTGGCCGATTCTCTTGATTACCCGATATGGGCCCTCGTACCTTCTAACAAGGCCCTTGTGCAAGCCTTTGTTCCTCAAAACAAGGTGTAGCTTCACCATCACCATGTCCCCTTCGCTGAAGTGAGCTTCCAGTCGGGTTTGATCTGCCCACTTTTTTGCCCTTTTTGCAGCTTTGTGGAGACACGTTCGAGCTAAGTCCCGCTGCTCTTCCCAGCCCCTAGCGGTTTTGTATGCCGCTGGTGCGACACCTGTATAGCCCACGGCAATGGCACTTGGTGTGTGGGGCTGTTGTCCAATCACGATTTCGAACGGGCTTTGACCGGTGGACTCGCTGCGCTGTAGGTTATGCGAGAATTGTGCTATGTCAAGCCACTTTGGCCAGTCGGACTGCGTGCCCCTCACGAAGTGCCTTAAGTAGAGCTCCAGCAATGCATTCACCCGCTCGGTTTGTCCATCCGTCTGTGGGTGGTTGCTGGTGGAAAAGCACAATTCAGACCCCAACAGCTTAAATAATTCCGTCCAGAATTTTCCCGTGAATCGGCCATCCCGATCGCTGATGATGGTGTGCGGAACGCCCCAGTATTTGACAATGTTCTTTAAGAACAACTTGGCTGCTTCTTCCGCAGGACATTCTTTTGAGGCTGGTATAAAGGTGGCATATTTCGAAAATCTATCCACCACCACCATAATGCTACCGAACCCATCTGCCTTGGGCAGCCCCATGATGAAATCCATGCTTACGCTGTCCCATGGTTTTTCTGGTATTGGCAGTGGGTTGAGTAATCCCCTTGGTCGCTGCTGCTCAACCTTGTCTTGTTGGCACACCAAGCAGGTCCGCACATAGCTTTCAATGTCATCTTCCATTCTGGGCCAGTAATAACTGGCGCTTACCAATGCCATCGTCCGATGCATCCCCGGATGCCCTGCCCAAGGGCTGTCGTGGCATTCTTTCAGTAGCTATTTTCGCAAGCCCCCATGCTGCGGAACATAGAGCCTATTGCCCTTAGTGTACACTAGCCCCTCTTTTACCCAAAACGCCTGGTCTTGCCTACCGTGGCATGCTCCAGTATGGATTGCGCGGTCGGGTCGTTTGCCTGCCATCCCGAATGTGAGGTAGCAGCTCTATGCGCACTTCACTGATGGCAGCCAATGTAGCCTTTCTGCTTAAGGCGTCAGCCACGGAGTTAGCCTTGCCTGGCTCATACTCCAGCTCATAATCGAACTCTGCCAAGAAGTCTTACCATCTGGCTTGTTTCGGGCTTAACTTCTTTTGGCTTTGAAAGTAGGATGTGGCCACATTATCAGTCCGCACTACAAATTTGGCCCCCAATAAGTAGTGCCGCCATAATCGCAAGCAATGCACCACTGCCGTCATCTCCTTTTCCTGAACCGTGTACCGTCTCTCGGTATCGTTCAGTTTTCGGCTTTCATACGCGATTGGATGCCCATCTTGCATCAGTACCCCGCCAATGGCAAAGTCACTTGCATCCGTATGTACCTCGTACGGCAGTATATGATCCGGCAATCTCAACACCGGTTGTTCACTCATTGCCTGTTTCAGCCGATCAAAGGCATGTTGGCTTGCGGCATTCCATTCCCACACCCGGCCTTTCTTCAGCATGTCCGTTAGTGGTGCCGCAATGCTTGAGTATCCTTTGACAAACCGGCGGTAGTAGTTGGCTAACCCAAGGAAGGATCTCAGCTCCCTTACCTTGGCAGGCGGTTCCCATTCCTGGATAGCACTTACTTTGGACGGGTCCATCCGGATTCTGCCATCCCCCACAATGTGCCCTAAGAATGGCACCTCATGCAAACCAAAGCAACATTTTTCCCTTTTCACGAATAGCTCATGTTGTCTAAGGGCCTCAAAAACAAGCCGTAGGTATTCAACATGGTCTT